AATCCTCTCCCATCCCTCTCCCAATCCTCTCCCATTCCTCTCCCAATCCTCTCCCAATCCTCTCCCATTCCTCTTCCATCCCTCTCCCATCCCTCTCCCAATCCTCTCCCGTTCCTCTCCCCATCTCCAGCTGTTTCCAGCTCAGAGGAATTCCTGTTCCTGGGAATCCCAAGCAGTTTGTCCCCCTCTGCTCTCCTCTGAGCCCAAATCAGATTTAAGCCCCCTGGCTCCTCTAACAGCTCCAGAACAAGCCCCAGCCGTGCCCATGGATGCTGCTCCTTCAGCCCTGGAGGATTCCAGGTGGGATCACATCCACATCCTCTGGACACCTGCCCGGGCCTCCGGCAGCACCTCCCGCTCCAGCCAGGAGCTGGGAACACAACAAAGCCCACAGGAGCTGGACACATCCCCGAGAAACCAAAACCACGAGGAACTTCCAGAATCCGCACGGTGCACGGATGAGCAGGTGTGAGATCTTCTCCCCACGGTGACCTCGGCACAAAACAATCCCCACCCTGAGCCAGAACTCCCAGCAGAAGCTCCCTGGCCAGCTCTGTTTATTCCTCTCCGTGTGTTCTCGTGCCCAGGGCAGTGTGAGAGGCCGGGGAAGGGAGGATTTGCTGCTGAGCACCGGGCTGGGGGTCAAGTTTTGCTCCTGGTGAGATGTAAACAAGCCCCGGGAGCAGGTCAGGCCCCGCTGCCCCCTTATCACGAGAGCTTTCACTTGGAATAAACACCAGCCCCAGGGCCAGAATCTCTCCCAGATGCTTTTGGGGCCTGATTTAAGGTTTGAAACCTAAAGTGGAGGGGTCAAGTAACCCCCAGCCAGTGCTGTCTCGCTCCAGAGTCAATGTTCACCCCCAAAACTTCGTCCCTGGTGCAGAAACTCAAGGATGGTTCCTACGGGAGGTGGCCTCCTCCTCCTCCTCCACAATCCCAGGCTGCTCCAAAGCCCATCCAGCCTGGCCTTGGATGCTCCCAGGGATTTCTCAAAGCCTGGACTGTGCAAACAGCTGCTCTGGCCTTTAGAGATTCAATTAAAAAATTAGGAAAAGCAAGATTTTTCCTCTTTAGGTCAACCCAGAGTGAAACCTTCCCATTTGTCCCAGCAAAACAGGGTTGGTTTTTTTTTTTCTTTAAGTGGAGTCAATGAAAACATCTTGTTCTCCCCAAAATAAAACATTTCTGGGTTTGCAAATGCATCTTTGAAAGCTCTTGTGGTCCCCTGCTTTTTTTAATTAAAGGCAGGCAGATTTCAACTGGGAAATGCCACAGCTCAATAAAAGGCAAAGCGTTTAATTTTAAGCATATCTCAAACAAAGCTGCAGCTTTTCATCCCCAAAATACTCCTTTTGGTTATGGTTCAAGTTGTAAATAATTTCAAAGGACCCAAAATAACTTTTATTTTCCCTACAACAAATGTTTCATCTTAATTTCAGCCAAGCTTCCAGTGATTGGAGCCAGACTCTCCCCAGAGGTGCCCAGAGAGTGGACAAGAGGCCAGGGCGTGAGTGGAGACCCAGAAATTCCCTTTAAACAGAGGAGAAATTTTATATTTTAGGTATTGTTTTACTTAAGGGTGGCCAAATGCTGGAGCAGATTGGGCAGGGCAGCTGTGGAGTCTCCATCCTTGGAGAGAATCAATTCCCAGCCTGGAGAATCCGGAGGAGGGAACGACACGAGGGTCAACGAGAACCTTGCAGGGCCCGAGGGGCTCCAGGAGAGCTCAGAGGGATTCTCTGGGAACAGGACACGGGGAATGGATCCCACTGCCAGAGATCGGGGATGGATGGGATATCGGGATGGAATTCCCAGAGCAGCTGGGGCTGTCCCTGGATCCCTGGCAGTGCCCCAGGCCGGGCTGGACAGGGCTGGAGCAGCCTGGGACAGGGGTGGCTCTTAAATCCCTTCCCACCCAAACCGGTCTGGAATTCTGTATTATTTCCGCTGGAAATCCCATCAGAGCCTGTCTCCAAGGAGCAGCAGGCTTCGGCTGGGGCTCAATTCACAATTCCTGCTTTTCCCCTGGAGAAATCCCGCGGGAATCCTTTTTCCTGCATCCATCTCCTGGTGCGCGGGGACCTCTGCAGCCCGCGCTGAGCATCGCCCGCAGCCGGGAGGGATCCAGGGGAAGGGATCCACCGGGAGGGATCCTCGGGGAGGGATCCACGGGGAGGGATCCACAGGGAGGGATCCACGGGGAGGGATCCACGGGGTGGGATCCTCGGGGAGGGATCCAGGGGAAGGGATCCACAGGGAGGGATCCACAGCCGAGATGGATCCACAGCCGGGACGGGTCCACCGCCCTCCCCCGGCTCCAGAGCCGCTCCAAGAGCCGCTGGTATCCCAGATTTCTCCACGTAGCAAAGGAATTTCGGGGCTCTGGGTGGCTGCAGAGCGCCTCGATCGGCGCTGCCTAAAAATGAGCAGTAAATCCCGGGAAAAAGAAGGAGGATGCTCCCAAGACGAGCAGTGCCTTTCCAAAGAGACACCCCGTCCTTTGCTGCCCTTCACGGCTGTGTTTGGCTCTCAGGTAACACGGAAACGTGTTATTCCAGGGATCTGGAGGGTGTGGGGAGGGGAGGGACTGGAAAAAGGGAAAGGAGCTGCCCAGCTCCCCCCAGCTCTGAGGGAAAATCTCAGCCCCTTCCTTCACCTTTGGATTTGCAAAGGGGCCCCGCTGGGGCTCAGGTTGTTTTGCAGTTTTGGGCATCCCGGGAGCAGGAATTTCCTCCCTGAACAGGAGCAGCTGCCGGATCTGCGCATCCAGAACCCAACCGGTGCCCGAGGCTCAGCCCCAAACCAGCCCCGCAGAGCCGCTCCATCAAATCCCACATCCCTTTTACCTTCTCAGGGAATGATGCTCCCAAATCCCTCCCAGCCCTCCTGCGGGAGCAGCTGACGGGCACCCCCGGCTCCCACTGAGCGCTGCGAGCCGGGGCTGTGCCCGGCCCTGGCAGAGATTTGGAGGCTGGCAGCCAATGGGAGCGGGGCTGGCACAGCGAGGGGATGCTCCGAGATCCTCTCTCCTCCCTCCTCCAGACCCCCCTCGCCGCCCTCTCACACAAAAGCAGGGAATTAGCTGATTTAGAGGAGCGCAGGCTTCGCCAGCTGCGACGGAAAATCATAATAAAATACCTCGGAAGGGAGGGGAAGCAGCGGCAGCCATGGAGGAACACAAATAAGCGCCCTCCATCCATCCATCCTTTGCCAAGGAAATCGCAAAGCAGCGGCTGCTGCGGGAAATCCGGCCTGGATGAATCCCCACGCTCCTCCAGCCGCATCCCGATCCGGGGGCTGCAGCTGCTGAGCCAAATCCATCGGCAGGAGGAATGCCGGGCTGGGAGAGGGGCAGCATCGCCTTTGTTCCCCGCTGAGCACCGGCAGCGGTGAGTGTGGCTGGCGGGATTTGCTCGGCTGCCTTCTCCTCCTCCTTCTCCTTTTCTCCTTCTCCTCCTCCTCCTCTCCCTCCATGATGCCTCCGGGGCCGGCAGGGAGCAGCTGCCAGAGGCGGGGAGGGGGAGGAAGGTGGGATTTTCCAGAGCCTTGAGGTGTCTGGAGTAGGGAAGGCAGGAATGGAGGCAGGTGGGGCTGGGACTATCCGGGAATGCCAGTCCCGGGAATGCCAGTCCCGGGAATGCCAGTCCCGGGAATGCCAGTCCCGGGAATGCCAGTCCCGGGATGAATGGCAGCAGGGAGGGATCCCTGCAGTGCTGGCACCCAGCTCTGCTGATCCCAGTGCCTGGGATACAGAGGGAGGCTGGATTGGCTCGGGCCTCTACAGAGGTTCATCCCTTTGAAGCAAATCCACCCGGATTTATCTCCTGCAGAGCGTTCCCGGACTCCAAAGGCAGCAGGAAAAGCCCTGGGGAGAGCTGCACAGCCACGGGCAGTGCTCAGGGCTGATCTCCTGCACTGGGGACGGACAGAGCAGCCCCAGGAACCACCCCAGACCCCTCATCCTAAAAAAAACCCAATTCCTGAGTGTTCCTCCCCAGTGTGAGGGCAGAGCTCGGGAGGAGCATTCCCAGTTCCTGCAGTGGCTGAGGCTGGGCCCAGCACAGGAGCTGATCCCACCTGAGCAGGTTCTGGAGCACATCGAGCATGGCCTTGTTCCCTTGGGGCAGGATCCTGCTGGGAATGGGGTTTCTGCTCCCCCTGACCGGCCAGGATTGGTTCTGAATCCTGAGCCGGGCTTTGTTGGGAGCTGCAGGCCCAAGGAATTGGGTGCAAAGGTTTGGATTTCTTGGTCTGGCAGCAGGAACCTTTCAGTGAAGCAAAAAAAGATAAAAAATATATTTATAGATATGGTTCTAAGGAACCCTGGGGCTCAGTGTGGGTGAAATCCAGGATTGCTGGATCTGAACTTGTTCCCAAAGTGCAGGAGAGAGGCCAGGCTGGGAACACACCCCAAGCTGAGCTGCCCCGGGGTTTTGGAGTCTGGTTTGGGTTACCTGGAGCAAGGCAGGAATGTGAATCCTCAGGGGTGGGAAGGACATCCCTGTGAGGCCTCCTCATCCCCCCATGTCCCGATGGAGCAGGGACACGCAGCAGGCTCGGGGATCTCTCTGCCAGGAGAGCCAGGGCTGGAAATGTCCATCCAATCCAGAAATGTGGGACCTGGGAATGTCCCAGGGAGGAGCTCGCCCCTCTCAGCCACATCTCCCTGCCCTCGGCAGAGAGGGATTTATGGGATTGGGATTGAAGGAGGAGCAAGAAGGGGAAAGGTGTGGGTATCAGTGCTGCTCCCCAGGGAGATGAGCTGGGATCTGAACAATCCCAGGACCAACCTCACCTCCTCCTTCTGCTCCAAAATGCGTCAGGTAGCCCCAGAACCCCGAGTTTCGCTGTTTTATCCACACAAGCAGCCCTCACACTGCTCTTCCACGGAGCAGTGGATGCTCCCAGCTCGGGATGCTCCATGCCAACCTCTCTGCCTCCCCTTTCCAGCCTGAGCCCTTCCTGGTGGGATCTGCTGGCTCCAGCCCTCCCTGAGAGCCATGGGAACCACGGAGGCCACGCTGCGGATGGAGAACGTGGATGTGAAGGAGGAATGGCAAGACGAGGACTTCCCCAGGTGTGTTCCCTGAAAAACAGAAACAAAAACAGGAGAATTTTATTTTTTTTCCTGTGAGAAACCATCAGGGCGTGGAGTGGGAGGGTCCTTCCCATGGCTTCAGAGGCACCAGGAGCCTGAACTCCAACAGGAGCTGAGAATTTTTGGAGCTGCTCTGATTTTGGGATGCTTTTGGCAGCCCTGTGTGGGCAGGGGAAGGAGCTGGGTGTGGAGCACAGGGAGGTTGGGGTGGATAGAGGGATCCACAGAGGGATGGAGGGTGGATGGATGGATATGGGAGTGGATTTATGGATTTATGGACTCCTTCCCAGGCTCTGAATCAGGCAGAGTCTTCCCAAGCAGAGCGGTGCTGCTGTGCCAGGAATTTGCCATTGGGATGCAGTGAATCCCGATGGGTGCCATCCTTGGGAAAGGAGGTGTGGAGGGTGACAGAGGTGCCAAAGTGGCACCTTCCACCTTCAGAGCCACTCCAGCAGCTGCCCAGAGGTGCCAAAACCCACCCCCAGGTGCTCTGAACCTCCATTCCCAGCCCCAGAGCTCCCAGCCCCAGGGCAGGTGTGGATTCTCCCTCTCTGGAGCCATTCCCAGCCCCCCTGGACACATTCCTGCTCCAGGTGACCCTGCCTGGGCACTGGGATGGTCCTGGGGGATCTCCAGGGCTCCCTTTGGGGGGGATCTGGCTCTGAGCCCTGCTGGGCACCCGGGGCCAGCCCCAGCCCCTGCTGCAGCTGCAGCCCCAGAGAAAGGGGCTCCTGTTCCCCCGGGATGAGCCTGGCTCTGTTCATCCCAGCTCCAGCTGCATCCCTGTGTGAGCCCCTCTGTGCTGCATCCCACAGGACGGCGTTTGTCCTTCCGCTGCCTCCCGGGGGGCCCCGGCGTTCCCAGGGTGGATTTTCTTTCCCTCTGGGAGCAGAGCTGCTGGATCTCTGCCAGAATCGGGCTCCCCCCTGGTTTTTAACGGAGTAAAAGGAGAGAGAAATGTGGGGATGGATGGATGGATGGATGGATGGATGGATGGATGGATGGATGATGGATGGATGGGAATCATGGAATGGTTTGGGTTGGAAGTGGCCTTAAAACTCATCTCCCTCCCAAGGGTGGGGACTCCTTCCACCAGACCAGGCTCCTCAGAGAATACAGACAGGAGATCAAGGTGTAGAAAGGAAAATTTTGTCCCAGAGCTCCCTAGAAAAGCCGGGATAAATCTCCAGGACACCTCGGCCCCAACCTGAGCTCTGTCCCACTCTGCCCATGCCAACAGCAAACCCCACCAAACCTTCCAGGGAAATCTCTCCTGGAAAGCCCCCAGCACCACCAAACCCGGGAAAACGCCTCGGGAATGAAAGCTGGGAAGAGGCAAAGGGATGTGAGTGGGGCCGGGATGAGCCTGGAGCCCTCAGGACGAGCTCCCCAGCCTCCTCCAGAGGGATTCGAGCAGGAACGATGCGAGACAGAGCCCAAACAGCCCCCAGGCAAAGCAGGGAAGGCCAGCTGGGTTCTACTCGCAATAAAATTAAATAAATTGTCCATTTCCAGCCGCTTCCCCGCTGGAAGCGTTGGAATAATAGGGCAGAAGCTGCTGCATGTGGGACAGCGGCTCTCCAGCAGCTGATTTGCTGCAGAGCTATTTTTGCCTGCCTGCCATTAGCCAATCTTGCCCCGAAAAGCAGGGGAAAAAAAAATAAAAAAATGAAAAGCCACATCCTAGACAGAGATCTGGGCCGGGAAAACAGAACCCAGCCACTCCTCGAGGCCACGGCGCGGCATTCCCAGCAGTTCCTGGGAAGCCGAAGGGTGGGAGCAGCTCCTGCCGGTGCGAGGAGGAGCCGGGGGAGCGGAGCGGGCGGATCCTCGCTGCTGCCGGGGTCCGATCTCCGGCCCGGCCCGGCCGGCCCGGGGCGGGGATGCCGTAACCGAGGCGCGGGCGGCGCGGAGCGGGAGCATGCTCATTCCTGCATCCATCGCTGCATCCGTTCCTGCATCCATCGCTGCATCCATCGCTACATCCGTTCCTGCATCCATCCCTGCATCCGTCCCTGCATCCATCCCTGCATCCGTTCCTGAATCCATCCCCGCATCCCGCCCCGCATCCCGCCGTGCCCGCTCCCTCCCCGCGAGCGCCGGGCACCGGGGACGGGCACGGAGCAGAGCGGAGCCCCCCGAGCCTCGGGAAAAGCCCCGCGCCCCCCGAATTTGTCATCCGGGGCCGAGCGCGCTGTGCCGGGAGGATTTCCGCCGGAGGCGGTGACTGCAGCAGCCTCGGGGAAGGTAAGGAAGGCTTTTCCTTCCCCTCGGCCCGTCCCGAGGTGGATCCCGGGATGAGGCAGCAGCTGCCGCACGTACTCAGCAGCGGCTGCCCCCCTCCCCTCCCCTTTCTGTGGCACCGAATCGTGCCAGGCGCGGCTCCCGGACGGACAAACAGCCGCACCTCGCTGGGGACAGGAGCAGCTGGAGGGGACCGGAGTGTCCGGGCAGCCCCCGAGGTCCCCGGGGTGCCTTTGGTGGGCTCCTCGTCTCTCATAAATATACAAGAGCCAGCAGCAGAGGATTATCCCTTAATCTACATATTTATAGGGTTTAATTTGGCCGCTGGCCCCGGCGTCATGGCAGCGGGAAGAGGAGCAGGGCAGAGCTGGGTTGGATCCTGTCCCCGTGGTCACCTCCCCTCCTGTGTGGCCGTCAGGAGCTGGACAGCGACCTCTGCACAGGCCCGTCCCCATCCCTAAAATCCCTGCGATTCTCCCTGCTCCGTGGGAGCTGTCCCAGCAGCAGGATTTCACAGCTCCTGGGCAGGAGATGTCTTAAACACAGACCTGCCTTAAATGTGAACTTGTGGAGTTGGCGGGGTTTGGTCAAGAAATGTCAAAGGCAGAGAATTCCAGGGGGCGGGAATGGAGTCCCAGCTCCAGCTAAGGGGAAAAGCAGCCGGGAATGGCAGGGGTGGGCAGCGGAGAGCGAGGCTCAGCCACAGCAAAGGTTCCTGGCCACAGCCCGGATCCAGATTCCCACACAGCAGCTCCCAAAGGGCGACAGCCACGCCCTGTGGATTGATTTTAGCAAGGAAAACTTTTAAATGCATCGATGCCTCCAGCTGCAGGGGCCGTGATTTGAACCAGGAGGGTGCAGGAGCTGAGCACGAGAGGCTGCAAATCCCAGGAAAAGAGGGGTGGGATGGCCTCTGGCTAAAAAATAGGGGCTGGAGTGCTGATGCTTGGAATTCAAACCTCAGCAGGGGCTGGGGGTCACCCCGTGGGGGCTGAGGTGACAATTTGGGGTTCCCAAGCAGAGCCAGCACCAAGGAGAAGCTGCTTCCTGGGAAAGGTGGTTGTGGCTGGCCTTTGGATAAAGCTGAGATGGATTGGGATCAAAGCATCCCTCCCTGTGGGTTGTGGCCAGGGAACAGGGACAGAGCACAGAGGGGGCTCCCTGGTGCCCTAATGAGGAGCCCCAGGAGTTCCTAGAGAAAAAATGAGGATAAGAAAGAGAAGGAGAATGTTGCCAAGGTGGTCTGGAGTGAGGATTTGCTCCCTGGCTGGATTTTTCATCCCTTGGGATGGTTTGGAGGTGAGAGGGGATTGCACAGCACTCCAGGAGGGAAGCACAGCTCCTGGGCTGCTCCTGAATTCCCTGAGGGAACCCCTGAGGATGAGCTGGCTGGGAAAAGGGAAGGGGCAGAGCACAGTGTGTTTTCCCCACTCTCGGAATTCCTTTTCCCTAAGCATCCCCTGCTCCCTGCTGTGTTTCTCCCTCGTGTCCTGCAGGCCTCTCCCAGAAGAGACGGGGATGGAGTCACTGGGAAGCCCCACGGAAGACGAGACCACGTCCTGTAAGTACCAACCCTCTCCAGAGCCGAGGAAACTGAGGCAGGGAGAAAGCCTTGGGCTCTCCACCAAAAAAATCCTTCTGTGGGAGAGGAAACCAGCGGGGATTTGAAGTGGTTCATCTTTCCTGGGGGAGGAACCCGGGCTCTCAGGGGTGTGGGCACTTCCATCCCAGTGCCCCCCAGTCCTGAGGGCTCCAGATCCATATTCCATCATGGAATGCTCCGTGGGGATGTCTTGCTCCGAGGACCCAGGAGCAGGACACCCTGTCAGTTGTTTTCCTTTTAACTCCAGCTCCTCCCAACACTCTGAACTTTAACGGGGCCCATCGGAAGCGGAAGACACTTGTTGCACCTGAAATCAACATTTCCCTGGACCAGAGCGAGGGCTCCATCCTCTCTGACGATTTCCTGGACACACCAGATGACCTGGACATCAATGTGGATGATATTGAAACTCCTGATGAGACAGATTCCCTCGAATTCCTGGGGAATGGGAACGAACTGGAATGGGAAGGTAAAAGGCTGGTTCTGGGTGAACATTTCCAGGGGTTGGGGTGGTTTTTAGCCTCATTTTAAAGACTTTTGACAGCAGCTGAGGACTGATAAGCAGAGGGAGATTTCAAAGTCATTTCTGTAATATTTGGGCAAGATTTAAAGCCCATAAACCCGCAGAGATCAAGGCTGGAGGTGAAACGTGATCAGAGCATCGTCCCTGGGGTTACCAAAGCCCTCCCCATGTTCTCTTCAAGCCAGAACTCTTTGTCCCTTTCCCAGATGACACCCCCGTGGCCACGGCCAAGAACATGCCTGGGGACAGCGCAGACCTGTTTGGGGACGGGGGGACAGAGGATGGCAGTGCCACCAACGGCCGGCTCTGGAGAACCGTCATCATCGGCGAGCAGGAGCACAGGATCGACCTCCAGATGATCAAACCCTACATGAGAGTGGTGACGCACGGAGGTGAGCTCGGGGTGGCCACAGCCTGGCTCCCTGGGTGGCTTTGTCCCTCTGTGTCATGCTGGAGGGGACACCAAGGCTGGCTGCGTCCTGTCTAGGGGGAAAATCTCTGGGTTTTTGGTACCTCTGCGTGGCAGAGAAGCCACAAAAGTGCTGAGATGGTGCTAAAAATATTTAGTGATTGTAGAATTGACGTCTGGAGGGAGAAGAGCAGTCCCTGACATGCTCCAGGGTCCACACGTGTGCAGTCAGATCTATTTCCCAAATCAAAGCAGAGCCAAGGAACCACCCGGCTTTAAAAACCCCAAACTCCTTCTCTGAACCCCAAATCCACATTACAGCCAAAACCAGCAGGAGATCTCACTGTTAAAGGGGTCTGAAGAGAGAAACGCTCACCTGGCGCTGAGCAGGGACACAAAAACCACCCCAGGAGCAAATTTCAGCGCTGTTTCTCCCTTAGCTCTCCCTGGAAAGCGTCACCTGTGTTTCTTTGCCAGGATACTACGGGGAAGGTCTCAACGCCATCATCGTCTTTGCCGCCTGCTACCTCCCGGACAGCAACCTGGCAGATTATCACTACATCATGGAAAACCTCTTCCTGTGAGTGCCTGCGGAGCTCTGGGAGGGACAGGAGGGTGAGGCAAGCAGCACAACAGCTTCCCTGTGTCCGTGGCATCCGGAATCTCAGCTGGGATCGGTCTGGATCCAAGCCCAGCGCTCCCAGTGGGCAGCTGCAGGCTGGAGCGAGTGGCACGGGTGGGACACCGGCCCCAGCTCCGAGTCCAACAAGCCCAACCATTCAAACATTCCAGTTAATTATTCCTGGGATGGACTGGCACCCAGGCTGGAGCATGCTGGGATCGCTGCCCAGCTGGGAGATGCTGCTGCTGGGCACAGAGAGGAGCTGGGGTGTCCAGCAGGGCACAAACTGCTGATCCCTGAGGGACACCCCGGGAGACCAAACCTCTCCCAAGACCTGCAAAGAAAGGCTCTGGAGCTGTTCCAGGGGGACACGGGGGGTGAAATCTAAGAGATGTTTTTTGAGTCTCATTTGGGTCCCTTTTGGTCACCCCCTGCCAGGTACGTGATCAGCAGCCTGGAGCTGCTGGTGGCTGAGGACTACATGATCGTGTACCTGAACGGGGCCACGCCCCGCAGGAGGATGCCAGGCCTGGGCTGGCTGAAGAAATGCTACCAGATGATTGACAGAAGGTGAGAATCCTGCTGCTGGGGCCTCATCAGCCCCAGGCCTCTGCCCACCCTAGAATTCAAAGGACAATCAGATGCTGTTCTTCAACAGGAATGAGTCTGAGCCAGTCCCGCTTTCCTTACACCTACCAGAATGGACCTCAAAAATCTTCTTGTTCCACTCCCCTGCCGTGGGCAGGGACACCTTCCACTATCCCAGCTTGCTCCAAGCCCTGTCCAACCTGGCCTTGGAATATTTTGGTTTATCTTTATTTATATTTTATACTTTATATTTTATTTTTTAAATTTATTTTGGATATAATGATATATATAGCGCTCCCATATCCTGCTGAGCTGGGATGAGCTTCCCAAGGGGTTTTACCTGAGGCTGGTCAGCACCACAGCTCCTGTTAGAACCCAGCACAGCCCAGGGGAGTTTAGGAAAGGTCCCTGGAACGTGACGCTCTGTCCCTTGCCCTGTCCCCAGGCTGCGGAAGAACCTCAAGGCCCTGATCATCGTGCACCCGTCGTGGTTCATCCGGACCGTGCTGGCCATCTCCAGACCCTTCATCAGGTGAGCACAACGTCCCCAACTCATTGGGGTTTGGAATCACAGGGTCACGGGATATCCTCAGTTTGGAGGGATCCACAGAGATCGTCCAGTCCAACTCCTGGCCCTGCACTGACACCCCAACAATATCCCAGAGAGCTGTCCAAGGGCTCCTGGAGCTCTGGCAGGGTTGGGAATGTGCCCATTCCCTGGGGAGCCTGGGCAGTTCCCAGCACCTGATTTCCATCCCAAATCCCTGGCACAGCCCCAGTTGCCCCCTGGGGTTTCACATCACAAACCAGATTTTGTCAGACCTTAGGCAGGGGTGAGCAAGGTGAAGCTGTCACTCGTCCTGCATCTCCCAGACACTTCCAGTGACACCTCCAGAGGTGTTTTTAGGAGCCACTGGGGTGGCACTGCTCCTCTCTCTCTCTCTCTCTCTCTGCCAGTGTGAAGTTTATCAATAAGATCCAGTATGTCCACAGCCTGGAGGAACTGGAGCAACTCATCCCCATGGAGCACGTGCAGATCCCAGACTGCGTCCTCCAGTGAGTGCCACAGGGACCCTGGGGCTCTGGGGAGGGGCAGCACAGAGCTGGGGCTGGGCCAAAATCCATGGATTGGGAAGGCAGAGCCCAGGGCAAAGCCGGTGCCAGCCAGACTGTGGCAGCTTGGAGCTCCTGGCACCCTCAGAGCCAGCACTAAACGTGACTAAAAGCGAGCAGCAGCGTTTAAAGGATGTTTTGTCTTTGTTGCAGGTATGAAGAAGAGAGGATCAAGGCCAGAAAAGAAAGGTAAGATGAATTTGGGGAGGGATGGGATGAACAGTGGCTGTTCCCCATTCATCACCCCAGAAAGGCACTGGAGTCTCCCTCCTTCCCACTGGGGGATGGATTCCCGATGGGATTTGTCTTTACAGGGCAGAGGAGAAGCAAGACATGGCTGAGAGGGAAAGGTAAGGACTCTGACTTATCCTTCCCTCCAACAGTCTTTGGGGATGAGAACAGCCCCACGGCTTGGTAGCACCCCTGGGACCCAACAGGACATTCCCAGAGTGTTCAGGAGCTGATAAAGGCTGGAACTGTAGGGAAGGGAAGTTCTGGAGGGGTTTGGAAGACAAGACCCTTTGCCAGGATAACTGGTTTTGGCCCTGATCAGAGTGATACAGCCTCTCATTCCAATTCCTGAGGGGGAACAGGGAAACATCCATTGGATGAGGCTGAATTTATTCCAAGAACTAGCCAGGAGCTCAGGGCAGAGAGGGGGGATTGGTTTGTGCTGGAGATTCCCTTATTTTGTCCTCTCTTTGCAGCAGGCCCGTGCCCCCAGCAGAGGATCAGGAGACCAGGTTTGAGCTGTTTGTGTGTCTGGGACAGATTCCCTGGCATTTGTGATCCATGTCCAGGAAAGCCAAGCCTGGCTTAGGCCCAGGATCCCCCAGCCTGGTGTCACCCAAGGCTTTGTCCCCTCCGCCCATGAAACCATGACTGGCACCATCTGTGTCCCCAACACACTTTTGTGAACGATTTCACCCAAACTCACTCATTTTTTTGTTGATGTGGTGGCAATAATAACATTTCCTACCTCAGTTTGCTGCCTGGAAACTCCTCCTGTCTCTCTTTTTCTGCCCAGCATGTCCTGAGTGGGAGCAGCACCGAGGAATGGAGTAGGAGAAGGAGCAGCCTGGCAGTCACCCACCTCAACGACCTTTGGGGACAAGACCTTGCCACCACCTTCTTCCAAGCCCTGTAAATCCTGGAGCCTGCCTCCTCTGCCTCCAAGATGCAAACTCCTTTCACCTTTTGGGAATCGCTATCCTTTAGGAAAAAAAAAAAAAAGAACAAAAACCAAATGAACCCCCCAGAAAACGAAGCAAGAACAGCACTTTTCAGGACAGGTTCTGGCGTGTTTCAGGAATGGTCTGTGGAGAGCACTGGCACAGTGCAAATACTCGCTGTGTATCCTTGTAGTAAGTCAAGAGCATCCTCCAGTCCATGAATCCCCAGCCCAGAAAGAGAATTTATTTTTGGTTTAAATTATAAACCCTTCCCTGCACTCGCTGCTGGCCAGCGCGGAGCCCTTTTGCGTTTTCCAGGACATCCCAAAAGCTGCCACCCCTGGGAATAACGACCAGGGGCAACGGAAAGAGCTTTTCCCTCATTTTCACAGCCAGAATTCCTGAAGATCCCGAGTGCCCACGGCCTCGGCAGCACTGCCAGCTTCCATCATCGCCGCTTCCTCTGTAACTCAGTCCCGTGAGGAAATCCCATGGCTTTTTCATGGTTTTTTTCCTGGTTTGTCCCATCCCGGTGCGTGGGGCTCTGGAGGGATCCCACATGGATCATTTGGAATGGAAAATTCCACAGAACCCTCTCCTGGACGCACACACGCCAAAGGGTCTGGCTTTAGAAGGAGCCTTATGAAGTTTTCCGTGTCGGGATGTCGCGCCACTGGACAATCACTCGCTGCTGGTGCCTCCTACGGAGCTGCTAAAACCTTGGAAGTTTCCCTCAGGAGAGCCTCATCCATCGGCATTCCTGCCTGGGAAATGCCCATGGAGAGCACAGGACACAGGGCCAGGTTCTGGAGCCAGGGGGTGCAGGTGCGACATCGGCTCTCGGAATTCGGATTTTGGACTCGTGAGGATTCTGTGAGCGAAGGAGAGGGGGAAAGAAATTAAGGAACAACGGTCTGGCCAAAATCCTTTGGAATCTCCTGATTTCAGGGCCAGCTCGCATGGCTCGGGCTGGATCCCTGGCAGTGCCCAAGGGATGGTGGAAGGGGTCCCTGCCCAGGGCGGGACTGGGTGGGATTGAAGTTCCCTCCAGATCATTCCAGGATTCCCTGATTCCGTGGTCGGGTAAAACCCCTCTCAAACACCCGCAGATGAAGAATTCCCTGCCCATCTCATCACTTCAAGGAGGAGAATTCTGGCACAGCAGGATTTTTCCTGAAGGCAGGGGTGGCTCCTCTGGACACACAAAGTTGCTTTTCTCTTCCTTTCAGTGAACAAAACCGCTCTGGACGAGATCCTTCTTCCCCTGGATGCTCCAAGGAAGCACCAAAAGTTCTTTTTAACCTTAATTCTCATTTGAGATGTTCTCCTCAGCCATGGATGGATCTCCTGCCCACACCTTTGCATGGAATGCAGAGCACCAACCCAGAGGCTGAAGATGGAAAAAAAATTTCCACATTCCATCTAAAAAAAAAGCACTAAAAAAGTTCATTGTAACAGAAATATTGACAAAATATTCCAAGTTTATGGATTTAGAGAAGAATCATCAGCTTTCCACTGAGAGCGTGACCCATGCTGGGCACTGCAAGGGAAGTTTGCAATTATACAACAAATAAAGTGGATAAAACATTGAATGATGGGTTCAAAATCCAAATCTAGAAAGCTTTTGTGCATCAAAAAACATTCAAAAATACTGCTGTATCCATGGAAAACATGGATGTGGGAGATAAGGAATCCAAATCTCCTTTCAAGTGGGGGCTCTGGATCCTCAGCAGTCTCCACACCAGAATGTGCTTTTTGGTTAATTCCTCCCCAAAACCGCTCTGTCTGCACTTTCAGATAAAAAAATACAGAATGACCAGATCTGACAACGAAAATTCACATTTTTCCAAGTAATTCCTTCAGAGCAAGGGAATTTCAGCTGGAAAAAGGACAGATCCCAATTTCCCTTCACGAGACAGAGGTGGTTTCCATACAAAAGTCAATTTTTAACCTCTTGGGACCGATTTTTTTGTTTGTTTGTTTGTTTCAAAAAGTGCACTTTGTGATGGAGCACTCCAAGTGGTGTGCACTGGATTTTAATTATTCACAGAGTTTTATGAGCGTGGAAATTTTATGTTCCTGGATGGATGGATGGATGGATACATGGAAAATGTTTTTATGTCTTTAAAACACAGAGAAGAACCTGCAGCCCCACCAAGGAGAAATCAGAAATGTCAAAAGCGCATTTTATAGCAGCAAAATAAAAGAAAAAATTAATTATCATTAAGTTTTTTTCAACCAGTGATTTTAGGCGTTGATTGCAAAACGAAAAGCTACAAATTCTTGGACAGAAACAGAAATAAAAAACCATCCCTGTCCCAAAGGTGGAGCAACAAATCTCAGCTGGATGGGGAGAAATCTGCACTGCTGCTGGTAAAAGTGCATTTCTAGTGGAACTTTGACCAGTCTATAAATATATAAATATGTTTAAAGAATAAAATGAAATAAAACTTCATCCCTTTAGCAATACCGCTGGACTGCTCGGTGTCCCAGACGTGAGCAGGCTCCGTTCCCGCCTCACATCCCTGCAGGATCAAGGTTTTCATTCGTCAGTTCCCTGGGTTGTATTCGGCAGTTTCTGGTCTGATTTGACTTTTCCTGAGATTTTTCTTCCTGGTGAATCCATGGGAAGTCACATTTTAGCTGCAGAAAAGGTTCTTTTATTTCCACATTCACTGAAATCCTGGTGTTTTTACTCGTTGTGTGTTTAATGGCCGGGCCTCAATTCACTCCACATCAGCCTGAAAAATCCAATCTCTTCCTGTACAGTTGATTCCAGAGCAGGAATTCCCTTCCTCTCTCTATGAGGATTTATCCCAGGCCCTCCTCAGCTCCAGACAGCTCCAACTTTTCAGGTTTTTCACAGAGAATCTCCCAGATTTGGGACAGTCCAGTCATTTTTATTGTGGTTCACGAGGAGTCAAGCCTGGGATGCTGCCGGAGGTTCCACTGGAATAATTCATCCCATTTTTTTCTGTCCAGTGCTGTGAAAATGTGAGTGGATATTCAGAGTTTCCCTCATGGTAATTTTTCCATCTCTTTTTCCCCCCAAAAAAACGTGCAGGAAAGGTTTTAAAGGCAACCAATCCTCTTTTTTAGAGGATTTCAAAAACCCAGGAGTCGAGGAAAGGCTGGTGGTGATGAGCTGGGATTGGCCTGGAGCAGGAGAAAGGAGCAAAAAACTGGCTCCAAACACAAAAAGCACATTTTTCTCTTTTCTATTTCCTTCTTTCCTTCCGTCCTGGCAGCCAGAAACGCAGCAGGATTTGGTGGAGTCCAGAACTCACCACCACAATAAGCCACAACCCCAGGGGTCTTTTTTTTTTGTTCCTTTCCAGCCCAACCCCAGCTGTACAAACGTGTGAAATGTCATTTTTTTCTGCAGTGGTTGTAATTAGGTGGTTTGTGCTAGCAGACTGTTCATCTGTACCCTGAGTTTTGCTTTGTATTATTCCATAAAATCTGTGGATATTCAATTAAAATGAGACTAATCCTTCAGCCAACCCTTCCTTCTGTCGGGAGATTTTATTTAGGATTTGGCTTCACGTTGAAAATATGAGGAAAATTTTTTGTTTGGATGTCATTCCCTTGAAGAAAGGCCTCCCTGGAAATTCTGACACTGCAAAATTCCAAGTGTTTTCACTAAAATAACTCCTGTTCTGGAGGATTCTTTCCCAGTTTCCCTCAGCTTTAGGAAAGAGCCCAAAAAAAATTTCCTTTCCTTGGGTTTCTATCAACCTGTACAGAACCCTGCTCATCTCAAGTTGTTTAATCTCATATTATTTTTACATATATTTTTATAATCTAATTAATACCATGACTGGAAATTGAATTATGAGCTCAAACACACGAGGAGTGACTTCCAAGAGGGCAGGGATGGGTGGGATTTTGGGAATTCTCTGTGTGGAATAAAAAAAAAAAGAAAAGAAGCTTGGGTTTGCCTCCAGACAGAAAAATCTTTTCCAATTTCAATCTACCTTTAGCAGCTGAGTGAAAATCAGCATTTTGCCACCTCTTCTGTCACACGAGCTGGGAGCTGAGCTCTGTCCTCCCACGGGCTGCTCTTCCCTGACAGTGACTGCAGCTCCTGAGTGGGGAAATCTCCAGGAAAAGCTCGTTCCAGCATGAATATTCCAAGGGGTTTCCCTTCCTGGCTGATGTCCCAGACACAAATCAAAATTCCCAGCTCAAGATAATGAGGATTTCTCCCGAACTGTCAACCCCTACTTGAGGAGTGAGGTTGATCCTGCCTGGTTTTATCCATCTGAAAATGAGATGTGCATTTAAAGGACTTCGGTTTCCCTCTAGATGAGGGAGGTGATTTCAAGGGATGATTTCACCTGCCTGGGGCTGAGTCCCTCTCTGGTGAGGTCTCCTCCCCACTGGGGGTAAACCAGTAAATATCAGTAAATACCCAGTTATCAGAATATAGATAGATAGATAGATAGATAGATAGCAGTAAATACCCACTCACATCCTTTAGGATTCATTCACTGAACCACAGCTGAGGGCAGGAAAACAAAGTGATGATGTGAGAGGAAAAGAGAAGAAGGGCTGGGACATTCCCTCCTTTCCCAGCACACGCTTGGATCGCTCACCTTGGCACCTGGGGTTAAATTCTGGGCCTGTTTGAGGCTTTTTGTTGACTCCACCTTTTGTTTAACAATCCCCAACCATCCAAAGCTCCCCCACAATCCCAGCCTGTCGTATTTTCCAAAGGCTCCTGGAGCTCGGGCAGCTTGGGAATGTCCCCGTTCCCTCAGGAGGGGGAAGAACCTTTCCCTGATTTCCATCCTAAATTCCCCTGGCACAGCTCCTGGTGAGGTCCCTCCTCACTTCCAGGACCCTTTTCCAGGTTGATACCACTTCCCAAAGCAGTGTCTAGAACCCAGTTTAGAACCCAGCCTAGAACCTGATCTAGAACCGAGTCTAGAACCGAGTCTAGAACCCGATCTAGAACCCGATCTAGAACCGAGTCTAGAACCGAGTCTAGAACCCGATCTAGAACCGAGTCTAGAACC